TCTGTCTCCGTCATTCCCTTGGCCAACCTCAGTAGGTGGTTAACCCACCTGCGGCAGGGGAGTTCACTGTGTGAGCACGGTATCTTCACCAGTATGAATCTGAAGGATGGGTACAGTTGGGAAGAGAGAAGCCACGAGGGGCCCATCGTACCTCAAGGGGGACGTGTCATAGGGAACAAGCCCAGCTCAAAAGAGAGAGACCATGCAACACATCACAGCTTTGCGGTGACCCTGAGGGCAAGCTGCCCTTCCTCCTGTCTGGTATCACATGGGGAATTGATGGCGGGATGTCCTTCTGTATATGTTTCTCTTATTGGTTGATGAATAAAACACCGTTTGGCCAATAGAGGCAGGAAAATAGGTGGGATTGGGAGACAAGGAGAATTCTGGGAAAGGTAGGCAGAGAGAGAGAGAGAGAGAGAGAGAGACCATGTAGAGACAGGGAGGATAACATGTGCCAGGCATTCTCTGGTAAGATAAGACCACGTAGAAATACATATATTTATAGAAACAGGCTAATAATTAAGACAGAGCTAGGCAATAAGAAGCTCTAGTCATCGGCCAACAGGTTTGTAATTAATATAGCGTCCCTGTGTGCTTATTTGGGACCGAGAAGGGCGGCAGAACCTGATGAGACAAGGAAACTCCAGCAACAGGGAATCATGTTTATCCACAGTTTCTGTTTTCCCTCTTTCAGGAATGACTTCTTTCTGGCACAACATGATGAGGCTAGTCTTTAATATCCCAAATAATTCACTCAATGCTCCTAGGTCCACACATAAGACAGAACTGGCTAATAATGCAAGTCACCCTTTCTTCCCATGAGAGAGGCAAAGATTCTGGCTATCTCCTAGGCCGGGTCTGCTCTCCTGCAGTAGTCACCCTATCCCTTAGATATGTTCCTTTTCCTTCACTGCCAGACTGAGAAACAGGGACTGATTAAGGCAAGAAGCAGGTTCTTGGGGACCAGCCAAGACTCAGCTCAGAGCCCCTCCCCTGGCTTGTTTACATTCCTGACCCAAGGAGCCAGAGGAGGTCACAGTTACCATGAATATTTAAAGAGACCTTTGCAGATTCACAGATGGACTACTGCTGTGCGGCAGTATACACACACACACACAGACACACACACACACGCACACATAGACACACACACACACACACGTTCTTCCTGGAAACTAGAGAGAAATGATCATCACTGGAGATGTTCACAGGACGTCATTGGAGAGGTCATGATCAGTCTATAGAAATAAAGGTTCCCAGGGACCAGGTGAGCAGGGCACAGGGAGCCAATGTTATAATTCTGCGTGTAGTTTAGAACCCTCAGCTTGCCGTGTATCCCTACTCACCTCCCCACCTTCTGCCTTGGCTTTTCCGTATTCCTCCTGGGAAAGAAAGAAAGTACTGAGCCCGCTCAGACTGCAAGAAAAGCAACCTGTTACCTGACCTGTTGCCCGCTGGATTTAGTCCGGCAGCTAACTTTTATCGTCCAGCCCGGGGCAGTCTCTGGTACTTACACTGTCTTGACTGAGTTCCCTGAGCTCACTCACCTCTGCTGTTGGAGACAAAACATCACCTTCTTATGTGTCTATCCCAATATCCCCCCAGATGTAAGGATGCCAGACTTACTGGATGTGCCGAGTAGTTTTATGGCAACTTGGCCCAAGCTACAGTCATCTGGGAGGAGGGAGCCTCAATTAAGAAAACGCCTCTCGCTGGTGAGATGGCCCGGTGGGTACGTATGCCTGAATCCAAGCCAGATGGCCTGAGTTCTATGCACAGGAACCCACAAAGTGGAAAGACAAAACAGATATATCTAGGTATTCTGTGACCTGTGACCTCCACAGGCACATTGTGGCATACACATGGGTACGTATACACACACACACACACACACACACACACACACACACACACGATAGATAGATAGATAGATAGATAGATAGATAGATAGATTAAAATGCAATTTTAAAAACAAAGAAAGAAAATGCAAAAATGCCTCAATGAGATCAGGCTGTGGGCAAGCCTGTGGGGCATCTTCTTAATTAGTAATTGATGCGGGAGGGCACAGCCCATTATGGATAGTGTCACCCCTGGGCTGGTAGTCCTGGCTTCTATAAGAACTCAGACTGGGCAAGCCATGAGGAGTAAGCCAATAAGCAGCATCCCTTCATGGCTTCTGCGTCAGCTCCTGCCTCCAGGTTCCTGCCCTGTTTAAGTTCCTGTCCTGACTCCCTTTGATGATAAACGGATATGGACGTGTGAGCCTAATAACCTCTCCTCCCCAACTTGCTTTTCAGTTGTGGTGATTCCTTGCCGCAACAGAAGCCCTAACTAAGACACTGGGATACCTCTACCTCAATACCTTGACCTGTATCTATTAGTCAGCGGTGACCATTTCTAAACAGTCGAATGTAAGAGAAGCCTACACTGAAATTGTGGGCGCCCGCCAGCAAAGAGGCCAGACAAGCGGCTGCAGACACGTTGTTTATGTAGTCATAAAACTTTTACACCCAGAGAACTACTAAGCCTTTGAAAGATAATAATTAGATATTGAAGGCCTTGTAATAGACAGCTGTCAGCTAGGCTTCTGTGAGGTGCCGTGCTGGTTTCTGAGATGCTGTAAAACACGACAGACCAGGTGTCCCAAAGATAAAGATCGTTCCACCATTCTAGTTCTGGGATGGAACCTGAGACCCAGCAACCGAGTGCTGTCTAGTACAGGTCAGACTCTGCTGGGTAGGAGACATCTTCCCCATCTTTGCATGCCCTCTTCCTGGATGTCTGTTCTGATTTCGCTATCTCTGCCCACGCCAGCCGTGTTGGATTAAGATCACCCCTGCGACCTTATCCTGAATAACTGGCCCACAATGACCCCATCCCTGAACAGAGCCACACATAAGGACTTCAAGGGCACCGTCCTCTCACCAGATGCTGAGTCATCATTCCAACAGCAATCCTAACAATGCATCCCTAGAACTTTGATACCCAGGGGCTTCTTAGCAGACGTGCCCACGAATCTTCTTCACACCTGTATTCCAGACTCTTCCTTTAAACAGGGCAGAGCTTCCTGCCCTCAAGTCATGGGCTGGACCCCTGAAAGGGGCTGAGACTTCATCAGCTCTGGGCCTCCAGGAAGTATCCATGACAACACGTCTGAGTCTTCATCGGTCCTCTTTATGGGAACCAACAGCTGTTTGGTAGGCTCCTAGGGATCTTTGCCCTCATTTATCCTAGACAGCTTCAAATAGCCTTGTCTGTCCGTCCACTAGAAAGTACAGCCCACGACACACCTGCTAGTTCATCTCTAATTAATGACGGTGATCACCTCTCACGGTGACCCTGAATTGAAGGTCAATGATTGATGTCCCTCTCAGGCCGTGCTAGGAAAACCCGAAGCCCCATCAGAAAACAAACAGACGAAGAAAAAAAAAAGACAAACGAGAGCCCACATTCTGAAGTGATTTAGAAGAGACTAACGAGAGGGTGTTCATGGGCTGTTCACGCCTGGTGACCGGTCGCAGCAGAAGCGTATTTGGAGAGGTGGAGATTAGGAGTTTGATTTGAAAAATCTCAGCTTTGGAGTACAGTTGTGCAATTGGAGGAGTAGGCAGTCCTTGAGCCAGAGATGTGTGTCCTCAGAGACATGAGGTTCTCAGAGACAACTGCAGCGAAGGCATTCAGGGCAGAGGGCATGGGAAGACCTCTGGGATGGCGCCCAGAGAATAACACAGAGACATCCACAGCCCAGGGAGGGACCTAACGGCTAAACCAGCAGCACAGAGCGGTGGGCAGCAGCCTCCAGGCCTGACTAGAGCAAGAAGTAAGGCAGGGGACATGTTGGAACCCTGGTGGCAGACAGCCAGGCACTAGGAAGCAATGGAGAGCACCAGCCTCCGGTGCTGTACACAGTGAAATGTTAATAAAGATGATTCCCATGAGTTGTTTTCTTCTTTGTACTGTCTCACCTTTTCAAGAACGAATACCTGTTTCTCCTGAGGACGGTAACTGCCGAGGAGAAAGGGAGAAGAGGCACACTGGCCGGGTCTTGCTGAAGGTACGTACCCCACCAGTCGCTGCCTCCCACCCTGTGAATTGCATTTCTCGATAGCTAAAAGTACTCCGCTCTGGTGCTTCTGTGCTGGCTAGGACACATGAACATAATTTAACCAGGGGGCTGGGGTTGAAGGTCATCCCCAAGGACTGGGTCACTGAGAGCCAGGCCAAGCTACTTGTTCGAAAGAAAGAAGGAAAGAAAGAAAGAAGAAAGGAAAAAAAACCTGGTGGTACATGTAGGCATTGTATGGGAGCACCCAGTGTCAGCCTTGGGTCGGAGCTCTGACCAGCATAGACAAGGCCTAAGCAAGACATTAGACATGGAGGTTGTCCTCATTACAACCCTCAGTCACCATGCCTGTGTCTGGGAGGTGGCCAACGGCGTGTCACAGTGAAGAAAACCACCAGAAATGGAGCAACCGTCCCAAGGGTAGGCGACCACAAGGAACTTTGGGGAGGGGAATGGGGGGGGAATCAGCGAGCTGCCCTCCTGTCTGGCCTAAGTGCCTTTGTAGGGACTCAGGGTTTGTGTGCACTGCCGTATAAGGCCCTGAAGGGACTGCAGTTGTCTGCATGAGAGTATCGCTCATCATCTGCTCAGATGTTTGAACACTCAGTCTCCAGTTAGTAGCACTGTTCAGGGGGTGATTAGGAAGTACAGTCTTGTTGGAGGAAGTGTAACCGCTGGAGGCGGGCTTTCAGAGTTTAAAAACTCCTCGCCCTTTCTGGGGTTGTTTTGTTTTGTTTTTCCTCTCTGCCCCAAGAGGTGAACTCTCTGTTTCCTCTTCTGCCGCTCGTTGCCAAGTCAGCTCTCTACTGTTGTAGACTCTTCTTATCCTTCTGGAACCATGAGCCAAAATAAACTCTCTTCCTTAAGTCGCCTTGGTCACGGCGTTTTGTCACTGCAACGGGGAGGTGGCTATTACAGGAGCATGCTGGGAGGGGTGGGGGGAGTGTCCAGACAGACTGCCAGCTACCGAAGCAAACTTTACCCAAGGTTGTAGAAAGATAGCCCAGTGGAGACTGGAAACTTATCGGTGAGTAGCCCTAAAGGAAAACAAACTCTGTTCTGTGGCCATTGAATCCGCTGGCCTCCGTGAACACTGCTTTCTAGACCGAGGGGAGCTCCTGACTGGACCAGGATGCACCTGCCTCACACCGGCCTTTATGCTCAAGAGTCAACAAGTACCTGCCCCACGTACCTCGCCTAAACGTTCCATAGCTGGGGCTGACCCGTTCAGAGCCCTGTTGTTATTTGACTGATGGTTTCTGTTCCTTTCTTTTTCTGTTGGCTGCATTCTGTTTTGTCGGATAAGATGCCCAAGCTAGTTTACAACTTTGCTGTCCCTCCTGCCGCAGCCTCCAGAGTGCTTGGGCTACTACTAGTATGTACCGTTGTATCAGAATCATTTTTCTGAAAGACATCCAGAAGCAGCTGGAAGGTCGATGGGACAGCTTTCAGTTTCCAAAGGCATCCCTGTGATCCCTGATAAAAGATGCCTCAGTCCCTGAGGCCACTGGGCAGAGGCCAAAACTAGCCACTGGGCTCACAGGGTTTCTGGAACCATTAGAGGTGTGAAGATGAAGCCGCAGAGTCGGGGAAACAGACCCAGATCCCTGTCTAGACATCCTTGGGGCCGATTTGTTTCAAAGCCAGCAGAACCTCTGACCCTGGTGTCTCAGCAGCAGCACACTGATGCCCTGCGTGTGAACAATGGCTCTTCAGCCTACTTAAAGGAGCACAGGGCCAGGCAGGTGCGTACATCGCACTGCTCTTTCTTTACCATAGGCAGTGCAACATTGTCTCCAGCACAGAAGGTCAGATTCTAACTATCTGATTCACGCTTGCTCTGCCCAAGAATCTGAGGTCAATGGGCGAGCAATGTTGAAGGTAAACTGTGGAGAAATAGCAAAGACAGGAAAGTTCCCCGAGTGGGTCTCAGTACTGCGCTGCAGCTGGCCCTAGAATTCGGTGGGAGCCACCCACTCAGCCACTCAGTCCAGCCACGCCTCGCCTGTTGTAAACAGCTATTATTGCTGATCAAAGAGTTACAAGGACTTAATTACAGAGCTTATAAAAAATGAAGGAATGGAGAGGGTTTGCCCGATAGGAAACAAATGTGCAGTAATTTCACGTTGGCTTATTCTGCACGTCTAGCAGGGTCCCTACCCTCCTCCTGTCCTGCCACGACCGAGAGGCAGGACTATGCCGAGCACAGACTGATCCGTCCGTAGCACGAAACCGTCCATGTAGACGACCAGAGGTGAGATTTCACAACCAGAGTGGGCAGGAACTAAAATAGGATGTCACGGGAGAGATGGGTACGCCCGGGGAGCAGACAGAAGCGCTGAGGATGTCATGTAAAAAGGGGAGCAGAGAGGGAGGCTCGGTTTCAGAGTTCTCATCTCTGTGGGGCTCAGATCCAAGTCAGGTGCCTTCAGCCAGGGACGGCGGGGGAGGAGAAACTCCGGCGTCTCACATGCTTGTTTCCTACCAAGCTAATCAGTGAGCTTCCACGGCCTCCTAGCCGCCACTCTGACATGCGGTCTGCACGTCCAACACCAGTGCCAGGACCAGACCAGAGCTGCCACATCCCGGAGCACAGCTGCAACATGACCAGGTCTCCCGAATGTCCCAGGGCCTGAGTCTACCCATGGGTGCTCCTCTGGTCACATCTTGCCAGCAGGCGTCATCCTCGTCCCCTCACCCGGCTGACACGAGCTCCCGGTAATTTTTCCATTGATAGGGCAGTGGAAGGAGTGTATGTAGAGGCCGCAGGCGAGGCCTCTCTGGGCCTGTGTCTTGTCCGGTTTCTTCTCTCCTGTGGGGTGACGAGGCTACGTGGAGTGAGCCACCACCTTATAGCCCCTTTCTGTCACAGAATTGTGAGGTCTTCAGGCTTTCTCGTCTTTGCAGGACACGTCCCGGAGATGGCTATGCACACGTGGAGTCTGGGAATGAGCATGCATGCCAGGCCTTATAGGCCTTTCGGGTTTTGCTTAAGGCAGAAGTGCTGGTTTCCTAAGAGGAGTGATCTGCATAATTAGATTCCCACGCCACGGGCCCAGGGTACAGCACAGCCGCGAGGCGTGTGTGTCGGATACAAGCATCTCTCTTCTTGAACGTTTTCCGTTTTTCCTCTTCTCTTCTTCTGCCATTTCTTCTTCTTCTTCTTCTTCTTCTTCTTCTTCTTCTTCTTCTTCTTCTTCTCTCTCTCTCTCTCTCTCTCCCCTCTATTTTTCTTTCCTCCCGTTCTTTCTTCCCCACACTTCTCTCGCTCTCTTTGAAACATCGCCGCCGCTTGTAGCCTCAATTAGTCACAGACTTGCTATGTGGCCAAGGTCGTCCTTGAACTCCTGATCTTCCAGCACAGGCATGCACCACCATGCCCAGCTGTGTCACTTAAAACCTGATCTCTGGCTCCAAGTGTCAGTGAGTGAAAGGTATCAGAACTGTGTTGTGACTCAGCCAGCTTCCCCGGGTGTGTCTTGCTCACTCACTAGACAAATATTTGTTCTTGGCACTTGTTAAAGTGTAGGTATTGTTACACATATCCAATTTTTCAATTCCTAGTTTTTAATTCTTCTGATTAAATTTATTGGGTGAACTGAAAGGCCAAAATGTGTATCTCACAACTGGAACAAAAATGCCAAGAAACGTGAAACAACCAGAAAATCTTCACAAACACTCAGCAACTGCGAATTATTTCACCAGACTTGAATATTCCTCCAAAGGGTCATGTCTCAAGAGGAAAGTTTTACAGTCAACCTGCAGTCATAATGCAAGTTCATACAAATTAGCACACCGTTGGCCTGTTGTCGGTGTCCTTGAAATAGAACTTTAAAACTAGGACATGATCATCTCCTTTGTAGATTACAGCACATTAGCTATACTTTACAGCCAAAGAAACACATCCTTTCCAAGACTGCAAAAAAGATCATATACTAGGTGGCTTCTCATCAAAAAGACTGTCCAGGGGTACGGACAGGTGAAGCCACCCTCAAAAGACAGATTTTCTAAAGAATCCACAGCCAGGTTCCCAATTCTCCTATTCCATGCATGCTGCCTCCAGAGGGGGCACAGTTCTGGCCTCCTAAAGCCCTGACCCCTGGGACCTGCCTCAGCCAGATCAGAACAAGCAGAGGGGTCAGGTCCAGGTAAAGCAGTTGGTGAGAGATGGCCTGGGAACAGGAGTGCAGAGAGCATCAGAGCTACTGAGTAGCCAGTTTCCGGGGAAGCAGAAACTCAGTATCTGAGAGGTAACCCACTTTTCTCCTGTGCTCAGCCATAAACCACTAAGGGGTTAAAGTCACCAGCACCATAAAGAAGAGATTGACAACCAAGTTAAGCCTAAAGAGGTAGCCGAGCCTGTCACACTTCCATTAGTAAAACATTAAAAATCCCATTTTAAAAAATGGGATTTTAAAAAACAGAGACAATCTTCTCCCTGATCTGCACCTCACACCTGTCTCCCAGCCATTGTCTTTGCTAACTAGCCTTGCAGCCTGGCTAGTTCTAAGACCGTCAGGAGCTGCAGATCAGGCAGGGCACTGGGAGCCTGAGGATGAAGAGCAGAGCTTGAGTATCCCCAGTATAGTGCTGGGAGCAAGCCCTGAGGCGCTGTCCTGGGCAGGACAGTGAAACAATGGTAAGACACCTGTGACACGCATCTAGAGTCACCCCCAGGCTCTCCACTCAACTAGGCTAATGAGATATTAGCCCAAAGTTACCCATAGGCTGTTGTTTTCTGTTGTGTAGGTAGCCTAATCTTGTGCATGGGGAAAAGCCTCCCTGTTTGGACAACAGGCTAGCCTAGCAAGGCTTTTGTTTGTTTGTTTTTTTAATTGGGAGACAGCTTGAAGGGTCAGTAACTGGTACAGCACTCATTTGAAGCCTTTGTTTGGCAGAGGAGTCATCCTGGCTTTGCAAAGACAAGGAATTTGCTTCCCAGTTCCCTGCCTCTCCTCTCTGTGTCCCAGGAAGAGCAGGTATCAGGGTTAGCTATCCACAGGCACCCAGCAACAGGTGGATATCTGACTGCTCATGTCTCTGGGGAGGGAACTCAGCTTCCAGTCCTGTAACAGAACCCCAAGGTGACTGTCACTGGAATCAAACAGACCACTTTCTTCAAAGGAAGACCATGGAGGGCTATATTGATATGGGTCACATAGCCCTACAGTACTAGTACATGGCACTTGTGGGGTCCTGGGCTTTTTCTAAGTGTCATTGATTGATAAGCCAGTCCAGTGTTCAAATGGCAATAGAGCTACCCTGCCTACCTGCCTGCCTACCTGCCCACCTGCCCAGGACTTAGTGACAAAAACCTGCCTCTCACCGCTCAGAATACCCCTAATCTCTGTCCTTATCTTGATGTAGTGGTTCTCAACCTGTGGGTGGTGTAGATTAATAGAAATGTGTCCATTTAAAAGTAGGAGCTAGGCCGGGCGTCGGTGCTGCACGCCTTTAATCCCAGCACTCGGGAGGCAGACAGGCAGATCTCTGTGAGTTCGAGGCCAGCCTGGTCTACAGAGCGAGTTCCAGGACAGCCTCCAAAACAATACAGAGAAACCCTGCCTCAAAAAACCAAAAAAAAAAAAAAAAAAAAAAAGTAGGAGCTATTTAGCAATAAGCCTGAGCAATAGGCCAAATGGTGTGTAATTAATATTAAGTTTCTGTGTGATTATTTAAGACTGGGTGGCCGGGAAGTGAGAGTTCGGCTTCCGTTTACAGAGCAGGCCAGGAAGGGTGCCACAAATGCCCCCCCCAGGAAGGCTCAGGCCATTCAATTATGTTTTACAGAATGCGGAATCTGTTGACTCTAAAATGCATCAACTGGATGGGTGCAGTGGAGGTGTGGGGTTTGAGAAATGGAGGGTGACTGTCTGGTCTGGCTCTCAGACGGCAGGCATAGAGCGTCAGCCCCATGCAGAGGCAACACGCCCAGGGGTGGGAGACTCCTCTACTCGCCTCAAGTTCCTCGGGTCAAGCTCACGCTACTCGGCTGACTTACTTTCTACCAGGACTGGCGTGGCTCTCCCTTGGAGCAAGGCTCTGAGGAACACTCCAAAGTAAGACGAGCTATATGTCAGGAAGCAATCCACCCTCTCCTTCAACAGCCACTTAGGACAAGATCTCTTTTTATAGCTCAAGTGGCCTCAAACTCATGACCTTCTTTTCTTAGCAACCTAAGTCCTAGAATTACAGAGATGCACCACCATGCCCTGCTTTTGAGGCTAATTTTTTCTAGTGTAGAATTCACAAGCCAAGACAATACACAAATCCAGTCTCCCATCCTCGTCCTTTATATTTATTTTTCCCATGGCCAGTCTGATGCCTCGGCATCCGTCCTTCCAAAGAACACACCCTAAAGCTGACCCTCAGCCATCCTGAGTCTGGAGGCTGAACCGTGCTGGAGTCAGCTGACCAGAGACCATTCCTGTACCCTCGCCTACGCTCCGCACTGGAGATGGGCTTGCGTAACGGGCCTCAAAAACTGACAGATGTCAAGTTGGAGAGCAGCCGGTGGCATGGGAAAGAGCCTCCTACTCAGCCACCCTCTGACACAGGCACGCAGCCCTCAGCCCTGTGAAGCCCATCTCCAGCTTGGCCCCTTGCGGCAGAGGGCTATGAAGATCCAGAAAGCTTTTCTCTCGCTGTTCCCCTTCACATCTTGCCAGGCACTTAATGATTCCCTGCCATCCTTCCCAGACTAGTCCCAACAGCATCAGCCCAGGCCTTCTCTATCCCAGCTTTCTCTCTGTATCCCAGGCCTCTGCGTGTACTGTTCCCTTAACCTTTCTTCTCTAAGCTCTTAGCATCAAATGCTTCCCTAGGGTGTTTCCATGCATGTGCTTTTGATATGTTTGTGAAACTACCTGGTGGGTATATGGTCCCTCCCGTAAACTGCATACCCTAATTCGGCAGAGGCTGGTTTTGGTTTGGCAACCCACCACGCCACTCCACGCCACGCCATGTGCTGTAACTTGTGCTATAACTGAGAACCCACTAATGCATGTGAAGATAGAGAGGGGACAGCGGCGTTTGACGGGACAGCAAAGCCGGGAATGAAGGTGGTTCCGATGAAGAGCGTCTTGGATCTGGGCCATCCGAGCCAGGGTAAGAGCGCCACAGAGTCCCGAAAGCAGAGGTACAGACTAGGGGAGCCTCCGCGCGGAGCTGGCGCGAAGGCTTGTAGATGAAGAGAGATGGAGGGTTGAAGCGGGGACACAGAAAGTCTGGCCAACAATTTATCAAGGGGTGCAGTGGAGAAACAGATTCATGACCCAGCTGCCCTTTGTCCTGCCGCTCTGCCCTAAGGGCAACGGGGAGTGGGGGGGGGGACCAGCTGCAAAGCAAGGCTTGCTCCTGTTCCAGCCACCCGAGAGGGGGAAGCGCGTGCCCTCTCCTCGGATTTATCTGGTCGCCATATCCAGATAAAGGCTAGTCACCCCAAACGTCACTGGCCAAAACGGATCAAATTCCGGCAACAGAGGGTGCGACTGTCAAGCCCGTGGCGCAGCCCGGGGGGTGGGGAAGGGGTCCAGTGGCTGACTCCCAGACACAGGAGGGGAGATCGGCGAAGACCACGCACAGGTTGGCCGTGTTGAAAACTCACCGCTCTTCTCTTGTGAGCAAAACTGGACTCACAATGGTGGGACAGCAGTAGCTTGCTTTAACCCTCCCAATGTGGACTTGGCCGTGGGTGGTCACCGTGGCGTCTTAGCCCAGCCTATGCTGAAGACCCACACGTGGAAGCCAAAAAAAAAAAAAACCGTGGGGCCCGAGGAGCAGCTGAGAGCGTCACACGCGAGAAAGGCCCCGTGAGATGTGCTTTGCAAACCTGGGACCACAGAAGTGCTTACCTTATCCAGGGCCCAGATCCAGAGAGGGAGTACGAAAAAATGGGGCGCCGGTGGGTGGGCTGGAGAGATGGCGGCTCAGCGATTTAAGAGCACTGACTGCTCTTCCAGAGTGCCCCGGGTTCAGTTCCCAGCACCCACACGGCAGCTCGCAAACGTCTGTAACTCCAGTTCCCTGGGATCCGACACTCTCGCACAGACATGCATGCAGGCAAAACACCAGTGCATGTACCATAAAAATAATTTTAAAAAAAGACGGGAGCAGGTGGAGAGCACTACAGAATAAAGAAAAGGGGGGGAAATGATTACAGTCAGTGAGTTTCACACAATAAGGAAACTTCCATACCAAGAGAAACAAGCTGGTCCAGCAAGGAAGACACAGAAGCCATGGAAGGGAGTGCAGCCCGGGAAACTATGACCACGGTCAGCAGAGGTCAGATGTCATGCACCTGCCCTTCCAACCCCTTTATAAGAATGTTAGAAAGAAACAGCAAAGTGTAGCCTACCTGAGAAATGGTTAAGATGACAGATTTGGTTATGTGTCTATTACCAAAATAAAAAAAAGTGGGAAAGATGTAGTTTATTCAAAACTTCAGTAAGCGGACTTCGTATGACCACCCCCCCCACTTCCACTAATTTCCCAAATTGTAGGTTGCCTCTCACCCCACATTTTCATAGAGAAGAAAGATGACGGCCTTTTAAGTTCATGCCCCCTCAGTGTTTATGAGGCTAGAACCCAGGAACCTCTAGCAAC